AAACAAACAAACAAACAAACAAACAAACAAAAAACTTTCTTGAGATACAATTTATGCACAATCAAGTGTAATTGCTTTTAGAATATTTCAAGTTGTGCAATCATCACTATACTCCAATTTTAGAACATGTACATCATCTCCAAAAGCAATCTTGCACCCATGAACAGCCACTCCCCATTCCCCACGCCCTAGGCAACCAGTAATAAGTTTCTGTCTCTGTAGATTAAGCAGAGCAATCTTTTAAAAATACAAATTGGGCAGGGCGCAGTGGCTCATGCCTGTAATCCTGGCACTTTGGGAGGCCAAGGCGGGTGGATCACTTGAAGCCAGAAGTTTAAGATCAGCCTGGTCAACATGGCAAAACCCCGCCTCTACTACAAATACAGAAAATTAGCCAGGTGTGGTGGCAGGCACCTGTAATCCCAAGTACTTGAGTGGCTGAGGCAGGAGAAAGGTTGCAGTGAGCCAAGATCATGCCACTGTGCTCCAGCCTGGGCAACAGAGCGGGACTCTGTCTCAAAAAAAAAAAAAAAAAAATTGAGCCACCTCATTCTTCTACTTAAAATGCTCCCATAGGCGAGAACGAAATCCATTATCACAGACACCAAACCCAACATCATGGCCAACAAGGTCCAGTGCAGTCTGGCCCTGCTGTCTCCCCACTAACCACATCTTCCACCACCATCTTCCTGCAGTTCCTGGAAGAGCCATATTTCTTGCCATCACAGCTTTTCCCGAAGCCATCCTCTTTGTTTAGAATGTTCTTCTCTTCCTCCTTTCACCAACTCAACTTCCACTCATCCTTCGGGTATATCAGCTTAAGTACCCCCCTGTCACATGACCATCCTAGATATCACTTCCTTAACCCTAGTCATGTGCCAAGATTTAAGACTCTCCAAGCTGGGCATGGTGGCTCACGCCTGTAATCCACGCACTTGAGGCCGAGGTGGGCAGATCACCTGAGGTCGGGAGTTCAAGACCAGCCTGACCAACATGGTGAAACCCCGTCTTTAAAAAAAATTAAATAAATTAAAAAGACTCTCCAGCAACTGATGGACCTTTTATCCAGTGTCATGACTCAAAGCCCAGCACAAGCTGTCCACCCACATGGGTACCTCCTGGTGCTGTGGGCTCTGCTCAGGCAGTGGATGAAAAATACCCGCTGGGAACTGGGTGGAGTTAAAGGAAACAAGACTGGCTGTGAGCTGGTCTTTGTCACAGCTTTATGGTGGGGACACAGAGGCTCATTCTACTGTTTTGTTTGTTTGTTTTTGTTTTTGTCTTTTTGAGACAGAGTCTTGGTCTGTTGCCCAGGCTCTGTTGCTCAGTCTCAGCTCACTGCAACCTCTGCCTCCCGGATTCAGACAACTCCTGCCTCAGCCTCCCAAGTAGCTGGGACCACAGACACATGCCACCAGCTTGGCTAAATTTTGCATTTTTAGTAGAGATGGGGTTTCACCATGTTGACCAGGCTGGTTTTGAACTCCTGACCTCAAGTGATCTGCCCACCTCAGCCTCCCAAAATGATGGGATTACAGGCGTGAGCCATTGCGCCTGGCATCATTCTACCATTTATACCTGTTCTTTGCATAGATTGGAAAGTTTCCACACTGAAGAAGCAAACATGTTTAGTTGATTCCAGTGAGCTTTTCAGGAACACAGGCTGTGCCCTCAGCCTCTCCAGTCTCAGGCTTGGCACTGTAGCCCTGAATGAGTCCCATCTGCCTTTTCTCACCGACTCCATGGCTGGCAGGCTTGCCCTGAGGCTCCTCTTTTCCAATCCTGGAAAGGCCAGCTCAACCCATTTGCCTCTTCTTTAAACACCACTTGTGTTTATGTTTTCTGCTTAAACTGTAATTAATGTTCATGGTAGAGAGAAAATCATTTTTACTTTCGTGTATTTCCCTGTTGTGTTTTTCTTTAATGAGATGATGGTGTCTTGCTACGATGCCAAATTAGTCTCCTGAAATTGGCCAACATGACTCTTATTTTGCCTGACCAAGTTTTTCGACTTACAAAACTGAGAGCCAGTCTGAGTGTGGTAGCTCATGCCTACAATCAGAGCACCTTGGGACCAAGGCAGGAGAATCACTTGAGCCCAGGAGATTGAGACCAGCCTGAGTAACACAATGAGACCCAATCTGTACAAAAAATATTAAAATTAGCCAGCAATGGTGATACGTACCTGTAGTCCCAGCTACTTGGGAGGCTGAGATGTGAGGATGACTTGAGCCCAGGAGGTGGAGGCTGCAGTGAGCTGTGATGGCACCACTGCACTCCAGCCTGGTGATTCCAATCCTGGAAAGGTCTGCTCAATCTGTTTTCCAGGCTGGCCTCAAACTTGTAGCTCAAGCAATCCTCCCACCTTGGTCTCCCAAGTAGCTGGGACTACAAGCACGGACCACCACGCTCCACGTTTTCCTGTCTTTTTTCACATTTATAAGTAAATGTATCTGAGTATCTACATATGTACATATATTCCAAGAATTGGGCTTATACTGAACGTACATTACTTTGTGTACTCTTTTTACTTTAAAGGCTAAGCATTTTCCATATAAATATTCTACAAAAACATCTGTAATAGACACCTATAACTCCATGACTGGGGTGTTCTATAATTTACTGGACATTTAGATTACATCTGATTTTCCCCTCTTGGAGATAAAGCAGTGATGAACATTTATGGAAGTAATGCTTTCTTTGCATTTCTGATGAGTCCTTCAGGCTATATACCAATCACTGAAACTGCAAATCAAAGGAGATGGGTGTAGTTACGAGCCTTGATATCTGATGCCTAATAGCTTATTCTTTTTTTACTATTATTTATTTTTAAATTTTTTTTTATTTTATATTTTTACTATGGGAATTGCTCCATTTCAAACTAATAGCCAATTCTTACTAGAAGCTTTTCCTCTTGGCTCCGCCCCTGAGGTCTTCCCCTCTTCTCAGGCTCTATAGGCCTTGGTCTATAACAAAGCCCAGCAAACGACTACATAGGCCTGCTGGGGGCACATCCCTCAGTATTTCTCATGGGACAGAGCAGAGGCTGGGTCTTTACCCTCTGTTGTTACTTTTCAGGCTTAAAATGGGAAATTAGTAGGAAACACTGATGGCCTCAAGCACAAGGGAGAGGCTGAAAGGTGGCCCGCTCAGCAGACCCCAAACCCCTGGCCGGCCCCAAGCCCCCAGCAGGTCCTAAACCTCTGGCAGGCCCTGAGCCCCCAACAGACCCCGAGCCCACAGCAGGCTCCGAGCCACTGGTAGACCCTGAACCCCAAGCAGGCCCTGAGCCCCCAGCAGGCCCCAAGCCCCCAGCAGACCCCGATCCCACAGCAGGCTCTGATCCCCAGCAGGTCCCATACTCACAGTTTTCACTTCGGTGTACGCCTGAAGGCTGTACTCCCCCAGCTCCCGGCCACTCCCTGACATTTTATAGCCACCAAAGGGTGACTGGGCACCAAACACGTCATAGCAGTTGACCCTGTAATTTGAAATGAGATTGCAGAAATCACTCTTGGGGGTTATAGGTTACACTCCCAGGATCCCTGGTATTGCTCCAAAGTCTTTATTTATTTTTAACTTAAAAAAAATTTTTTTTTAGATGGACTCTTTCTCTGTCGCCCAGGCTGGAGTTGCCGTGGCATGATCTCAGCTCACTGAAACCTCCTGCCTCAGCCTCCCGAGTAGCTGGGACTACAAGCACATGCTATCCCATGCCTGGCAGTAACCTTTTTTTTTTTTTTTTTTTT